AGGCTACGTGGAGCAATCCACAGTGAGCAGGGGCTTCCCCAGGATGGCAGAGCACTGGTCTGTCTCAGTTCAGGAGGCCAGCTGAACATCTGCAGGCAGGGCCCCTCAGGGGACAGGGGACGGCTGAGGAGCTGCCTTACCGCGTGCCCCCCAGCACCATTGCAATCTGTATCAGGGTCTTGGGGCCTCGTGGTTCAGATGGGTGGGTACCAGAAAGGTGGAGGGAAGAGTCAGTGGCCCCCCGCCCCAGGGCTCAGGCCAGTACAAACTGCAGATTGGTCAGCAGCACCTTAATGCCTTTGGTGACAGTAATGGCGGAAGTGGCAGGGTCAAGCTTGTAGGTGTTGGCGTCTCCCTTTTTGTATCGGTCCCGGAATACGTAGATGCTGCCATTACAGCTGGCGATCTTCCAGAGGGATGGCGCGGAGCTCCAGGCCTCCGGCAGGCAGAGCCGAGTGAAGCTGTCTAGCAAGGGGTTGTAGCACAAGAGGGAGTCCCCTTCGGCCACGATGAACACGAGATCTTTATGCACTGCCGCGTGCATGCGGCCGGCGAACGGCAGCACGTAGGGCTTCACGTGGCACTTGTCTGTCTCGGTGTCGAAGCACTGGATGAGTCGGGAAGGTTTGGTAAAGAAGTCCAGGTCATTCTCCTCACCCCCGAGCAAGTAGATGATGCCGTTGAGGTTGGCCCCAGCCGCCCCTGACACTGCCACCTCCAGCTGGGTGGTTTCTGTCCAGACGTTATCGCCCACGCGGTAATAGATGACGGCATTGGACAGGGTGTCCTGCAGCGTCTTGCCGCCCAGCGAATAGATGGCATCTTTCCCGGGCACAGACACCAGGGTGTGCTGGAGCCGGTCCCGCGGCAGCGGCGCGCACCACTCCCAGTCCACGGTGGCATTGTTGCACTTCCACATGCGCCGGGGGATGGAGCCACCCACCACGTACAGGTCCCCGCCGTGCTTGCAGGCGGCAGTGATCTGATGGCACAGGCTGTTTTGGCCGCTTACGCTGATGGAGTCGTCCTCTGCACAGTGCAAGGACACGGCCAAGGAATGGGTACGAGAGGACTCCTTCCCAATCAGGTAAATGTGCACATTCTCCCCAATTTCCTATTGAGAAAAGGAAAGTGACAAGTGGGCGCCGGAGAGAGTGCAGCGGGTAAGGCACTGGCCTTGCACGCAGCTGACCAGGACTCGAGCCCCAGCACCCCATATGGTTCTCTGAGCACTGAAAGGGGTCAACCCTGAGTGTAAGTCTTGAGCACTACCGGGTGTTAAATAAAAGAAAATGACAACTGGTATCTCTCCTCCTGGGCCCACTCCTTAGACCTAGCCTTAAGTCCACCCTTAAAGTCTTGGGCCACTGCTTGCATCTTCCTTCAGTTACTGTGTGTCACTCCAACTCCTCCAGTGGCTGCCTTCCAGGCATTTTTTGCTGGGGTAGATAATACGTTGCATGCATCCTTCCAGCTTTTTAAAAACTGAGCCAGTGCTTCAGACAAAAGATGCCTAGCATCATTAATGAAAGGATTCCTCAAGGAACTTTGAAGCCCCAAGATTGGTGGCTTCTGGAATCGGACACAAATCCTCCTCCCTGTTCCGGAGCACTTGCCAGAGGGGCCTCAATCACCAGCCCAAAGAGGCCAGGCCGACAGAGAGTTGGACTATATGGAGAGAAAGGTATCCGGACCCTAGGAAATGTTCCTTACCTTCAAGCTGGTCCTGAGTGACTCTGCAAAAGCCTCTCTTTCCTCTTTATTAAAATTGATCCAGGCTTCGATGGCCTCTGTTGGGTTCTGGGAACATGGAACTCCATCTGTAAGAGTCAGAGGAAAGGCAAGGTCAATGGCAAATTGACAATCCAAATTTAGATATTATTTTTGGTTATTGGGTCACACCCAGCAGTGCTCAGGGCTTACTCCTGGTTCTACATTCAGGAATCGCTCTTGGTGGGACTCGGAAAAGACATGAACTATTTTGTCAGATGGTCACTGTGTCAGCATGTGAATACGTATGATAATGTTACCTGAAATCATCTTGTTTCTTTTAATCAGGATGGTTGACTTAATATGCTCCCAGCTGCCATGGGAGCAATTTATTGGGCTGTAGAAATCAACCAAAAGTTTCTCTGTATCTCACAGTGTTAGGCTTGTTAAATTTGACACATCACTTAAGAGGTTCCTTACTTTGGGGTCGGGGCAAGATAGTATAGTGGATAGGGTGCTTGCCTTGGGTTTGGCCTCCTGGCACCACACATAATCCCCTCAAGGCTCTCTGAGCACTGCTGGGTGTGGCTCCCTCCAAAATAAAAATAAAGCCAAAACAACAATAAAAAAAAAGTCCCTATTTGGACAGCCTGAAAATTAGTCTAAGTAACAAAGGTCAAGGTACTTGTCCTTCAATGGGACTGACCTGGGTTCAATCCCAGGCACCGCATCTCCCAGCCCTACCAAGAGAGACCAGGAGAAAGTCCTGAGCACTGGTAAGTGTGACCCCAAAACAAAAAGAAGTTCCATATTTGGAAAATAAGGAAGTAGTGCTGAATGTGATGCTGGTTCAATCCCTGACACCCATGACACCACATATCCCTGACACCCTGAGCACTACGAGGGGTCACTCCTGAGCCCACAAACAGGAATAATCCCTGAGCACTGCTGGGTGTGGCCCCAAACCAAAAGTTCCTCACTTTCCCCAAGTGAGCTTGCTGAATAGGGGGGCAGGGCAGTGTGTGTGCGGGGGGCAGTGTATGCCTTGAGTCTGGGAGGCCATGTTCCATCCCTGGTCCTTAGGTCCCCTAAACACTGCAGGAGTAATCCCAAGCACCGGATTAGTGCCGGGATAGTCCTTGAACCTCACAGGGGATGGTCCCACAATGGATAGTCCTTGAACCCCACAGGGGATGGTCCCACAACAAAAATTCCTACATAAAAATGGCCTCTCGGCTTCCTTGATGGGTAAGGGCTGCTGCTTTTGTTTTCCTGGCTTCCTCCCCCGTAAGAGATGGTCTCTGCGGGTAGTCACACCCAATTCTCATCAACCTTCCTCAGAAGGTATCAACATTCCGTCAGGAATATTCTGTCTGAACAAAATCCAGGAAGGCTGAGGCTTATTTCTTCCCGGGCTAGAACCTGCACTGAATATGGGCGCTAACTGCACAGTTCGCTGCGGTAACTGCACAGCTCACTGCGGTGGCTCTCCACCCTCCGCTTACCTGAGACGATGTCAGTGAGTAAATGGTGGGGCAGGTGGAGAAACTCTTCTGTGCTCTGCAGCTGGGCCAGGTGAGCTTTGGCACAGTGCTTGGCGGCCGTGTAAAGCTCAGGGTCACTGTGCCGATCTGCTAGCCACATCACCTGAAGGCAGTTCCCCACCTGCACGGTGCGCGCCAAGAACCGAGAACACTCCTCAAAGAGGGATGTCAGCTGGTACATGTCTGACACCTCATAGATCTCCTGCAGCTCGTCAGCTCGAAGTTTCACAGTCCCGTGGTAGATATAATCCACCAGGAGCTGGAAGACCGACTCGCTGACGTCCTGCAGCACGATCACCCTGTTGTGGGCCTCCTTCAGGTTGGAGGTGAACATGGACCGGAAGAAGCAGCTCTGAGCCGAAAGGACCAGCCGGTGGAGCTGGAACTCCCGGCCTTCCACCGAAATGGTGACGTCGGCAAAGAGCTCTTCTTCCAGGCACAGTTTCATGATGCCCTGGGCCACGCGGCCGGAATGGGACCGGTCTTTGAAGGTGTAGTTCACGAAGTAGTTTTCCTCCATGGAGGCTCCGGGTTCCTCAGGTGATTCCATGGTAGCCGCCTGCTCTCTCTGCCAGCTGTCTGCAAAGCAACACCAGCCAGGGTCGCTGGGAGATCCCACATGCAGCGTGGGAAGCCGAGTGTCCCGTCAGGAAAGAAGGGTGGTGTGACACTGAAGTGGGGCTGGGGCAGAGCTGGCCCGGCCCTGCCATCGCGTGCTCTTCTTACAGCTTGGCGCCCTATCCCTAATTAAATGGCTGTAAATTCCCATTTTGGGCAGTTCCCTGAGAAGGCACAATAACATGCTTTTCCATGATTAACAAAAGACTTGTCATTCCAGGAAAGCAAGTGGCTGGAGAGACAGTACAGAAGCTAAGGTGTCTGTCTTGCCTGTGGCTGACCTGGGTTCGATCAGATCATGGGCATCCCTTATGGTTCCCTGAGTACGGCTGGGAGTGATTCCTGAACGGCAGGGCCAGGAGTAATCCCTGAGCATCGCCGGGTGTGGCCGCCAAACAAAACCAAATCATAGCAAGAAATAACTATGGGTTCAAGCCAGCCAGGTTCCAGGCAGCAGATACCATTAAAAAAGGAAAAAAAAGGGGAGAAAAAAAAAGTCCTTGACACCCACTCCCCATCCCCAAATCCCTCAAGCAGTCCAGACCTGCCACTAGGCGGCCGGGCCTGTGACATCTGTCAACCCCCTATTGACTCTTCTCGGCTGCTCCCCCACTCGTCCTAACGACTCTCCAAGACTCGGTCCCAGAACTCGGAACGGATCCCATTCGCCCCCGGGGGGGGGGGGGGCTCCGGGAGGAAGCTCGGCGCCACGTGCGGCGTTCCCGCTCGCCCCCCCCCCACACCCGGGGTCGCCCGGGAAACCGTCGCCGGGGAAACCGTTCTCCACCCGCACCCGCACCCACCCCTCTCGCATCCCGCCCGCCCGCCCTTGTTCAACGTTGAGCTCCGGGAGCGGGGGAGGGCGTGGAATGTGGAACCCAGAACCTCCCCACCCCGGTGCCCCGTGCCCTCCTCTCACCCGTCCGAATCTTCAGGCTCCCCGCCTTCCCGCCGGCCGCTGCCCACGCCCAGCCAGGCCCACGTTCACCTCCCGCTCTCGTCCACCTGCCCGCCGGGCTTCCTCACCTGCGTTCCCTCCTTTCATACCGAAGCCCGGAACCCGGAACCTCTGCTTCCGGCCCCGCGTCCGCCCGGAAGAAAAAAGCGTGGGCGCACTTCCGCTTCCGGTCCGTGCCCTTGGCGCTCCGTGTCCTGCGGGGCTCGGCTGCGTTCGGGGAACATGGCGGCGGCGGCGAGAGGCTGGTGGCGCGGCCTGGCGGGGGCCGTGGCGCTGAGCCGGGGTGAGCAGGAGTCCGCGAGCTGAGGCCGGGGCGGGCTGGGGCGGCGGCGCCAGGGCCCGTCATGCCTCACCCGCCGCCCGTGTCCCTTTTGCTGTCTTTCCCCGTGCAGTGGCCCGGCGACCCTCGGCGCTGCTGCTGCCGGTGCGGAAGGAGAGCGCCGCGGCCGACTCGCGCCGTGAGTATGTGCGGGCCGGGCCTCCTCGGGGCTGCAGGCGGGAGCCCTCTCTCCCCCTCCCCACCCCGCCGTCACCTGTTTGCCCTTGTCCCGGGGTGCCCTTCCCCCCCGGCCGCGTGTGTCCTTGGCGAGCCGCGAGCGCTGGCGCTCAAGGGTGCCCGCGCGCACGGGGCCGCCCTCTGCCCCTGGGGGTGGGGGTGGCTCCGCCGTGGCCCTCGCGGCCCCTTCGGAACCCCCTACCCCCACGCTGGCGCGGGTTCGGCTGCCCGTGCTTTGCGAGCCTTTGGGAGCCTGTTAACCTGTGCAACCCCCCCTAGCATCCCTGGAGCTACCCAGCGTTAGGCTGTTCACGTTAGGAATCAGAGGAGACTCCGGAGAAATCACTGGTCCCGGAGCCCCGTAGAGAGTGTTTGGCCGCAGAGAATGCAGCCTGTGTGCTGTGCGGGTGCCGAGCTTTTGGGGGTGCATGCATGTCCGGAGGGATGGCTTGGAGTGGCCAGTCAACTGGGTATTGGGCACCTGGCAGCTCCCTCTTCCCAGCACCTTCATTTCTCTTCTAAGCAGAAGCGCGAGCTTCAGCTGCATGATCCGAGAATGCCCTTCCAGCTCCGCGCTTCTTTGCTTGAGAGCCTTAATGAGAGCCAGGTGCTAGGAAGAGACAGAAAAGTCAGGTCTCTTTTCCACCCTTGAAGGCACCTAGTCGGGTCTGCATCTAACCAGACGTGCCTGGTTTAGCAGAAATGTAGGCTCCCGTGGAGGAGAAACCTGGAAGGGCATTTCCAGAAGTGGTAAACTAAACACCCCAGCTTCCGTAATCAAGTCTCAGTGGGATGTGTAGGGTGGCATTTTTCCTCGTTTTCATCACTTTTTGTCTCCTGGCGGTGCTTAGGTCTTAACCCCTGACTCTGTGCACAGGGCTTATTCCTGGCAGGACTCAGGTTGACCCTCTGTGGTACCAGGGATGATGATGATGATGATGATGATGATGATGATTTGGTTTTTTGACTCACACCCGGCAATGTACAGGGTTACTCCTGGCTTTGCACTCAGGAATTACTCCTGGCAGTGCTCAGGAGACCATATAGGATGCTGGGAACCGAACCCGGGTCATCTGCTTACAAGGCCAATGCCCTACCTGCTGTGCTATCGCTTCAGCCCCCAGGGATCAGAACTGCCCGCTCTACTGCTGCTCCAGCCCTCCACCCTCACCTTCCTAGAAGTTCTACAGGGACCCTGTTAGGAGACAGCATTCCTTCCAAGCCCAGGAGACTAGCTTCAGAGCTGCCTGCTCTATTACTTTGTTCTGTCTCCTTCCAGCCACCGTCAGACCACGGGATGATGTCACCAACAAGCAGCTCTCAGCTTTTGGAGAGTACGTGGCCGAAATCCTGCCCAAGTATGTCCAGCATGTTCAGGTAACATTGGCTGTTACTGTTTGGATCTGGGTCGAGAAAGAACTTCGTGGTCAGGGTGGGGCTGCAGCAAGCATCCTCTGGTGAGAGGAACCACAGACTCCTAGCCCAGTGCCCGCCTCTCTGCAGGTGTCCTGCTATGGGGAGTTAGACATCTGCATCCATCCCGACGGCGTCATCCCAGTGCTGACATTCCTCAGGGACCACACCAACGCACAGTTCAAATCCTTGGCTGACCTGACAGCAGTTGACGTCCCCACCCGGCAGAACCGTTTCGAGGTAAGTGGGGAGTAAAGGACGGGAAGGGGATAGAGTGCTCTAGGGGTGGCGGCTGTCTGGGAACCTTAGATCCCTTTAGAACCTTAGATCCTTGGGCTGGAGAGATAGCACAGTGGGTAGGGCGTTTGCCTTGCATGCGGACCGACCCGGGTTCGATTCCCAGCATCCCATATGGTCCCCTGAGCACCGCCAGGAGTAACTCCTGAGTGCAGAGCGAGGAGTAACCCCTGTGCATCGCCAGGTGTGACCCCCCCCGCCCCCCAAAAAAAAGCAAAAGAAAAAAAAGAACCTTAGAACCTGTTGGAGTCAAATAATATGGCAACAGAAAAAGGAGGGTCTCGAGTCTGGCAGACTTAGAGTCTGACTCTTGGCACCGCCCCTCAACAGACCACCTGATCTCATCGTTCCAAGACTTTATTCTACCTGTGTACAAAGGAATTTTGCGAAAAACAAAAAGCCAAAACTGTACAGTTGTTCCTGACCCATGGGCTGGACTGGGGATTAAATGAGGCCCTCCCCTGCTAGCTCACAGTAGGTTCCCAGGACTTGGAGCTGCTGTTTAACATTGATTTTTGTTTGGGGGCCACAACTGTCAGTGCTTGGGGCCTACTCTTGACTTCGTGCTCAGGGATTGCTCCTGGCAGGGTTTAGAGGACCATATGGAGTGTTGAGGATTGAACTTGGGTGGGCTGTATAGAAGGCAAGGGCCTTACCAGCTGTGCGCTCTCTAGCCTCGTTTACTAATTATTTACTCTTTACTACCTCTAGGGTTAAGGAGAAATAATGCCCATATCTTTCCCCAGAACTCCTTGCATTAATGCGGCAGAAGAGCGCATAGCAGCTTAGAGTATGAGGACCAATGCATAAGACATTAGCAGTCTGGTGTGAGGATGCCAGGGAGGTGGGGATGCTCTGTCATCTGGGAGGTGTCTTGAAAAGAAATGAGCCTGTGTGCTGAACCATTACATATGACCCGGGGACAGGGCAGGATAGCTGGGAGCCATCCTAGACAAAGACAGTGCTCTGCTGTTGTGAGCTGCAGAGGTTCAGACCTGCAGGAGTTATGAGTATAAGGCGTCTTGAGGTTTCTAGTTCAGGACAGGCCTGTTGGCAGACTGGAACCCTGACCCGCCTTTAGTTCTCCACTCAGGGTTTGCTCCCCGCCCCCTTGGTGCCTTGTTCATCCAGCTCCCTCTGTCCTTTCTCCCTAGATTGTTTATAACCTCCTCTCTCTGCGCTTCAACTCCCGGATCCGGGTGAAGACCTACGCGGATGAGCTGACTCCCATCGACTCCTCTGTGCCTGTGTTCAAGGCAGCCAACTGGTATGAGCGGGAGGTGAGTTACTGAGCTGCCGGCCCTGAGGGTGGGAGTACTTGACGCTCCCGGGGTGCATTGCGGCCCCTCTCCCCCAAATTGGACTTTCCCCAAGTTGGACCGGTTCCCTGGTTGTGTTTTCCAGATCTGGGATATGTTTGGTGTCTTCTTCGCTAACCATCCTGACCTAAGGAGGATCCTGACGGATTACGGCTTTGAGGGCCATCCTTTCAGGAAAGACTTCCCTTTGTCTGGCTATGTGGAGGTAGGTGCCCGGCCACTGGGAATGTCGGGAAAACCTGGGGATCACGAGCGTGGCAGTCCATTTTCAAAACTGGGACAGCTCCTTTCCTCCCTCCCTCCCTCCTTGGGCCACACCCAGCTGTGCTTAGGGTTTACTCCTGGCAAATGTTCTACCCACTGTTCTATTGCTCCAGCCCCAGCACATTTCTTATATCTGTATGGCACAGCAGTTTCGTTAACTGCAAAAGAGAAACAGCAATGGTGCTTAACTAGGGCTGGAGCAATAGCACAGAGGGTAGGGCGTTTGCCTTGCAGGCGGCCAACCCGGGGTTCGATTCCCAGCATTCAGTATGGTCCCCTGAGCACCACCAGGAGCAATTCCTGACTGCAGAGCCAGGAGTAACCTGAGCATCGCTGGGTGTGACCCAAAAAGAAAAAATAGTGGTTAACTAATAGATTTCTGGGGATCTAAATGCTGTTTGTGTACGGCCTGTTTTTGTTTTGGGTTTTGATTATTTTTGGGGGGGGGGGTGTTGGGCATGTTAGGCAGTTTTCAGGGATCACTTTTGGTAATGCTCAAGGGACCATATATGGTGCTGGGGATTAAACCCGGGTCTGCTGTGTGCAAGGCAAGCGCTGTAGCCCCTATACTATCTCTACAGTTCCGGGTATTTTGATTATTTAGTTGGTTTTTGTCATTATAGTAGTTGGTTTTTTTTTTTTTTTTTTTTGCTTTTTGGGTCACACCCAGCGATGCACAGGAGTTAATCCTGGTTCATGCACTCAGGAATTACTCCTGGCGGTGCTCAGGGGACCGTGTGGGATGCTGGGAATTGAACCCAGGTCGGCTGTGTGCAAGGCAAACACTTTACCCGCTGTGCTATTGCTCCAGCCCCAGTAGTTATATTTTTATTTACTTTGCAGAGGGGTGAGTTTTGGGGCCACACCAGCCAGGCTTCAAAGCTCTGTGCTGAACACCGTTCAGTCCCCCTGGTATTCACGAGACCATGTGTTGCTCAGGCTGGCCACATGAGGGCAGCCCTTTAGGCACCGTACTGTCTCACTGGCCCTACGATCATGTTAGTGACCTGGTCAGTTTTAAGGGCACCCTTTGTCTGTGCCCCGAGACCTTACCATGGAGAGTCATTTACCTACCTTGGTCCCTGAGAAAACAGCTGGTGGGAGCCCTTCGGACCGGCCTGCCTTGGGCCCAGTGCCCTGGGAACACAGGCACTGCCCACAAGTTCCATGCTGCGGGCCCTAGTGGGAATATGGTCTGCTCTGGGCCCATGCAGGGTATAGCAAAGTGGCTTTTTAGACAAGCGGACAGTGGTACCCAGCTTCCCCCACCTCAACACCCACACCTGTGCACCTGTTTTCTTGGCCTTAGCTGTCCCACCCTGGTTTTCCTGCCGGTTTCCTGCAACAGAAGATTGGTCAGATTCACTGTCTAGTGTCTGACAGTGATTGACCAGGGCCACGCAGGGGCTGAACTGATGTTGCCAGCTCAGGGTCACTGTCTTCAGTCCCTGACTTACTCCCTAATCCTGGGCCATTGCCCACTGCCCTGTGTAGCAGGGTGCCAGCGTCGTTTCTGCCTCAGAAGCATTAAGCTACCGTGTGAAGGTGCCAGGAGAGAGCTGAGGTGTAAAGGTGGGGTGACAGAAGGAGACCAAGTCGCAGACACGGGGTGAAGGGACAGGGGTGTTACGGGGTGCCTTTGGGACCGTGACGTGGCCTCCCTCTGCCACAGCTGCGCTATGACGATGAAGTGAAGCGCGTGGTGGCCGAGCCCGTGGAGCTGGCGCAGGAGTTCCGCAAGTTTGACCTGAACAGCCCCTGGGAGGCTTTCCCGGCCTATCGCCAGCCCCCCGACAGCCCCAAGCTGGAAGCTGGAGACAAGAAACCCGAAGCCAAGTAGCTCCAGGGAAGCACGTGGTCCTGGAACACGCCTTTTCTATCCTGGAGTGTCCGTGTATATAAATTTGGATGCGACCCAGCGCTCACTGTGTGTTTGTCTTGGGTGGAGGGAATCTCTGGCCCAGACAGGGAGGTGCAGGCAGGCTCTTCCCTGCTCCAGGCAGGGATCCTGTTTTAACAGGATGCAGCAAGGTGCACGGTGGCCCGCAGGCTTGGCTGTGGTTCAGAGGGATGTGACAGCAGAAACAACTTCACACTACAGGGCTGTCACCCAGAGCCGACACAGCACTTGTACCCTGTAGAAGGGGCACTTCCGGGAAGCTGCAGGGTTCCAGGTGGGGAGTGGCAGGAGCCTGACTCCTCTCTGTAGCTCCTGACCTGAGATCCTGGGAAGTGACACTGGACTTCTTTCTTACAGGGGGGGGGGGGGGGGGGGGCGGTACCCAGAGGCTGGAAGGGGGAAGGCAGCCCCAGCAGAGGTTCCACTGTGGGCAGGCGCCCTCCAACCCATTCCTGCACCTTGGCCTGGGCTGGAGCTGCCCCTTGGGGATGAGGCGCCTTCACACCTGTTGAGCAAACCTGCGGTCTCCTGCCTTTGGGATTCTCATCTGCACTTAGATGGCTCTGAGAGGCCAAGAAGAGGGGTGGGTGGGAGTGGGTGTTCCAGGTATTTGGCCCTGTCACAGGAAGTCTCACCCCATATACACACATGCTGTAGGCCCAGCCTGGTGGGGCTTCCTATGTAGACCTGCTGCTTCCTGGTGCCTTCTGGTCTCCCCATGGCCAGCTGCAGGGGTGATGAGAATGCTTGAACCCCAAGCCCCAGGCCGGGTAGAGGGTGCCCCTTGTCACCAAATGGCATCGGACACGGAGGACCAGAAAGGGCCTGCATAGAGCAGAACAGGAAAGGGAGGGGGACCGGCAAGGGTTCCATCGCCGCCCCCCAGCTGCGCGCCCTCCCAAATCCCAGACAAACGCATCACGGCCCTCCCGGGCAGACAGACCCACTTTATTGGCCAGGTCCAGCCCTGACTCCACAAGCACCACCTCCCACCCTCTCCCCTTCCCCAGCCCTCCTACCGTCCCCGAGATCATTGGGGGTTCAGAGCTCGGGGGGCCGCGCCCCGCCAGCTGCGGCGGCGGCGGGGGCCAGGTCGGGATACACCAGGAAGCCCGAGAAGGTGATGTATTTGCCGTGGTTGCTGTAGGCGCCGTAGCCGTCGTGGTCGTGGCTGAGCAGCCAGACGGCGTCGCCGCGCCGCAGCGGCAGCATCACGCTCTGGCTCTGCATCTCGCGGCGCCGCGACGCGCCGTCGTCGTAGATCATGGCCTGCACCTCGTCGCGGTTCTTCATGAGCTTCACCGACAGCGTCTTGCGCGGCAGCTTGCCCAGCGTGAAGGCGAAGAAGTAGGCGCCGGGCAGGCGGCAGCGGAACACGCCGGCCGCCGCGTCGAAGTCGCCGCCGATGTTGACGAGCTCCGTGTCGAAGGCGAGCGGCCGGTGGTGCGGCCCGGGGCCCGCGTCCGAGCCCAGCAGGCTGCGGGTGCGCGCGGCCGAGAAGGCGGAGCGCGGCTCCTCGGCGCGCGGCGGGGCGGCGGCCAGGGCGTTGGCGCTGGCGCTGGCGCTGGCGCTGGCGCTGGCGCTGGCGGCGGGCGCGTCGGCGTCGGCGTACACCAGGTACCCGCTGAAGGTGGCCCCCGGCGCGCCCAGCGCGTAGTGCGGCGCCGCGTGCAGCCGCAGCCACACGGCGTCGCCGTAGTCGAGCTGCAGCAGCGCGCTCTGGCTGGCGCCGCGCCGCGCCCCGGGCCGCCGCTGCTCGTCGAACGCCAGCGCCTGCACCTCGTCGCGGTTGCGCACCAGCATCACCGACAGGCTCTTGTGCGGGGCTTTGCCCGCCGTGAAGGAGAAGAAGTAGGCGCCCGGCACGCGGCAGCGGAAGCGGCCCGTGGCCGGGTCGAAGTCGCCGCCGATGTTCACGTACACCTTGTCGAAGGTCACCGCCAGCTCCGACGAGCCCTCCAGCGGCGTGGTGCGCGCCGCCGAGAAGGCCGAGCGCAGCTCCGCGGGCGCCGGCGCGGGCCCCAGGGCCCCGCAGGCCGCCGGGCCCAGCAGCCCCAGCACGAGCAGCGGCAGCATGGCACCTGCGGAGGGGACACGGGGGGAAGGGACACAGCGGGTGGACAGGGCGGTCGCGCGGGGCGGGCCTCTCCAGGACCCAGCCTCGGGTCTGCGGCACCGCCCCCCCCAACAACACCCCGTTCTTTTTTTTTTAATTTATTTTTGCTTTTTGGGTCACACCCCGCGATGCACAGGGCTTACTCCTGGCTCATGCACTCAGGAATGACTCCTGAGGGTGCTCGGGGACCCTATGGAATGCTGGGAATCGAACTCGGGTCGGCCACGTGCAGGGCAAACACCCTACCCACTGTGCTATCGCTCGAGCCCCACAACACCCCGTTCCTGTCCCTTAACCCGCAGGGAGGGATTTCTGTCCACACTGGACCGAAGGTCCCAAGTGTCACCCGGGGAGGGCTGGTTAGAACACATGCGGTGGGACTGGAGTGTTGGCACGGCGGGGAGGCAGGGGGCTTGTCTTACACTCAGACCGACCCGGGTTCGATCTGTGGCATCCCATATGGTCCTCTGAGCACCGCCAGGAGTGACTCCGGAGTGCAGAGCCAGGAATAAACTGAGCACCACCAAGAGGAGTGCCCCCACTCCAACACACACACACACACACACACACACACACACACTCACACACACACCACAAACGGTTGGGCCAGAGTGATGGCACAGCAGGTAGGGAGAGTGTCTCTGGAGTGCAGAGACAGGAATAAACTCTGAGCAACACCAGGAGGTGTGCCCCCACTCCAAAACACACACACACACACACACACACACACACACACACCACAAATGGTTGGGCCCGAGTGATGGCACAACGGGTAGGGCACTTGGCTTGCATGCTGCCAACCCTGGATTCTTTTGGGGAAAGGGTCTGGGGACCACAGCCAGTGATGTTCAGAGATCACTCCTGATGGGGTTCGCAGGACCAGATGGGCAACTTGGATCAAACTCAAGTAGGCCACGTGCAAGTCAAGTGCCCTACCAGTTGTACCTTTTGCTCCAGCCCCAGCAGACCCTAGTTTGATCCCCAGTCACTGCATATGATCTCCCAGCAGATCCAGAAGTAATTCCGGAGTGCTGCCAAATGAGGCCCCAAAGCACAAAACAAATAAAAAAATCATAAAGTTTAAACACACACACGACCCACAGATTCTGGAGGACATACAGCTTTACCCACAGGAGCCTGGATTCAATCTACCTCACTGTGTGGGAGTAGCGGCCCCTCCCTGCTCCCAATAAAAACTTAAAAACACTGGTGGGCCATGTTAAAAGCACGTCCTTCAACAGTACTTTCTTCAAAAGTACTTTTAAAAACATTTATTTCATTTTGGAGGCCATACCTGGTGGTACTCAGGGGTTAGTCCTGGCTCTGCACTCAGGGATCACTCCTAGTGGGGCTTTGGGAACCATATGGGATGCCTGGGATCAAACTTGAGTCAGCAAGGCAAGCACCCTCCCCTCTGTGCTAAGCCACTGTCCCTAAAAGCACCTTCTTGGCATTCATCATGGTCTGATTCCATCCAGATCCACCTGTGCCCTTCCTCCCCTGACACATTGTTGGATTGGGCCCATTTCTCTCTCTTTCTTCCGTTCCCTTTCTCTCTCTCTCTCTCTTTCTTTCTTTCTTTTGCTTTCTTTCTAATTTCTTTCTCTCGCTTTCTCTTTCTTCTTTCTTTCTTTCTTTCTTTTGCTTTCTAATTTCTTTCTCTCGCTTTCTTTCTCTTTCTTTCTCCTTTCTTTTCTTTCCTTTCTTTTGCTTTCTTTCTAATTTCTCTCACTTTCTTTTTCTTTCTTCTTTCTTTCTTTCTCTTTCCTTTCCTTTCTTTTGCTTTCTAATTTTTCTCTCGCTTTCTTTCTCTCTTCTTTCTTTCTTTTCTTTCTTTTATTTCTTTTGCTCTCTTTCTAATTTCTTTCTCTCGCTTCCTTCCTTCCTCCCTCCCTCCTTCCTTCCTTTCTTTCTTTCTCTCTTTATTCTTTCTTTCTTTCCTTTCCTTTCTTTTATTTCTTTTGCTTTCTTTCTAATTTCTTTCTCTCCCTTCCTTCCTTCCTTCCTCCCTCCCTCCCTTCTTCTTTCTTTCTTTCTTTCTCTCTTTCTTTCTTTCTTTCTTTCCTTTCCTTTCTTTTATTTCTTTTGCTTTCTTTCAAATTTTTTCCCTCCCTCCCTCCCTCCCTCCCTTCTTTCCTTCTTTCTTTCCTTCTTTCTTTCTTTCTTTCTTTCTTTCTCTTTCTTTCTCTCTCTCCCTTTCCTTTCCTTTCTTTTATTTCTTTTGCTTTCTTTCTAATTTTTTTCCCTTCCTTCCTTCCTTCCTTCCTTCCTTCCTTCCTTCCTTCCTTCCTTTTTTTCTTTCTGTCTTGTTTTTGAGCCACACCAGCGATGCTGCTCAGGGGTTATTATGCTATTGCTCTGGCCCACCTGCCCCCCCCCCTTTAAAAATACTAGGGCCCACTCACAGAGATGGTAGACCCACAGGTCTATGCTGGGAGGTGCTGGGCTTGGGGGGCGGGGATGGCCTCATTCATACCCAGCACATGCTCTTCCACTGAAAATTCTGCCAGGACTCTACCCCCCTCCCCAAGCCCTGAAAGTTCTCAAAGCACCAGAACCTCTTTTTTTTTTTTTGAAAAGGGAACACGCGGTGGGGTTCAGGCCTTACTCCTGGCTTTGAACTCCGGGAATCACTCCTGGCAGTGTTCAGAGAACCCTATAGTGGGCCTGGGGATCAAACCCAAGACAAACGCCTGCAAGGCAAGCGCCTTATTGGCTGTTCCATAGCTCCCATCCCAGAACCTCTTTCTTGAGGGCTGGAGTGATAGGACAGCAGTCAGAGCATTTGCCTTGCACAGGGCCAACCCGAGTTCAATCTCCTGTGCCCTGGAGTCAGGAGTAAACCCTGAGCACGGCCGGGGGTGGCTCAAACACCATCCCCATTCTCCCCCCAAATAAGAGAACCTCAAGAGGTCTGCCAATATAGCCTCTGGGCAAGCAGATGCTGTTCTGGGACTCTCGGGGCTGCATTTTCCTGTGGCTGTTGGTGGCCTATGGCGTGACCCTCCCTCAGGTCTCTCTGTACTGAGGTCCCAAGTGATGCCACTTTTCAGCTCTTGTTTGCACAGACAAGGCACTCATCGATGCTCACTGGCCTCTGACCCACTCAGCTCCCATTCCGGGCCCCCTGAGTTCCCAGGGTCCCCTTCGCAGGGAGGAGACCAGAACACAGGGCTTTTGACTCCCTCCCTCCGCTCGATGCAATTAGCATTAAGAGAGTGACTTTATTCTCCTGGTTGGAAGTGGACCGGACGGTCAGTCCCAGGGGCACTTGGGCAGGCCGAGGTCAGAGTCTTTATTCCTTAGTAGTGGTGGGGTGGGCGGGACTCTGTTCAACCTCAGGCACATTCCCTACCCTCTCTGGGCATGGCTTCTTTTCTGAAGGTGCTCTGTGCTCGCAGGTGTGAATGTGGTTTGTGCTAGGCGTCCCCGGTGTAGCTGTGCGTGGCCCTGGGGAGACTGGCTACTCAGAGGAGCCCCACCTGCCATGGCAGGACCCCAACATTCAAGGACCTCCTTGAATACCCAGGACCTCTCAGGTAGAAACAGAAAAGGCAAGAGCCTGGGAGGTGGACAATTGAGAAATTCCTGGGGTGGGGGCGTGTCAGTTGAGGGGGGCCTTCAGAGAAGGTGGCCACGTGGCCACTCACCCACATAACATGGACACTGCCCACACTTGGTCGTGGACCCTAGTAACAAAGGGAAAACCCTTTTCTACTGCTAGTAAGCCCCCAACTCCTGCCAGCCCAGCGGGCTGCTCCATCCCCAGAAACCTTTTCCAGCAACTAACAAAGGGACCCCTGAGACTGGACTGGCCCCTTGTCAAGGACAGAGAGGGCGCCCCCTGTCTCCCACCGTGGGAAGTGCGTTCTTTGGACACCTCTACCAGGTCGGCCTACAACCAAACCTGTGAGGCAGGTGCACCTGCTCCCATTCCACATGTCTCAACGCTGAGCCCAGCCCCGGGAAGGATGGGGGCCCAAGGCCACGGCGCAAGGAGGCGACACCGACCCCAGGGTCTCCTTACGGAGCACCCCCTTCCCGCCCGCATAGCTACTCTGCAGCCTACCAGCCCTCCGCCGCTTTCGGATCTTGCAAAAATGAGCGAGACAAACGGGATGGAGCGCTGGGAGGAGGGAGGGAAACAAAGCCCGGCGCTCTGCCTCCTGGGGCGGACGGTGGCGGGTCCCGCGGGTCCTGCCCAGGGTCCTCCGCGGTGTGCGCCCCCCGTTTCACCACCCCTCACCCCCCACCCCAGCCCATTGTGCTCATTCCTAGACCCTGTCCCCAGAGCTGTCCGCGCCGGGAGAGGGACAGGTGGGTGCCCCAGCTGCAGGGAAGAGAATGCGGGTCCTCGCTCACCAGGTGGGGCTCAAAACCGTCCTCTTCCCAGGAAACAGACAAACAAAAAAACCCCAAAAACTGGGGCACGGAGAGCTGCAGAGCTAAGGCCCCGGACCCGACTGGGGAGGGGGCAGCGACATCAGGCGATGGGGCTGAGTCCCCTCCCTGCCACCGCCGCCCGATCTCCCTCCCTCCGCCCTGCCCGCACCCCCTCCCACCCCCCACCCCAGGAAAGCGCCCCTCGCGCTGGATGAACCCCCTGCACGGCTCGAAGATTCTTTTCTCGGGAAAAATCAAGACCACCCCCCGCCCAAGGGGCACCCCAGACCTTCCTCCATCCATCCCCTCCCAGTCAAAGCCCGGAGCATCTTTCAAGGGAGAAAGGACCCAGCGGCCCGCTGCCCATCCCGCCCGGGGCTGCCCTCACCTGGCTGCCGGCGCCGGCGGCTCTCGGTCGGCTGCGAGCCCGCGATGGGCTCCGGGCTCCGCGCTCGGGGCTGGACTCCGGACGCGCGCGGAGCGCGGGGGGCGCGGGGGGCGAGGGGGGCGCGGGGGCGGCGCGTGGACCCGGGAGCTGGGCGCAGGGAGGGGGGTGTGGGGGGACGAGGACGCCTGAAGATGCTGCGGCGCCGAACGGCGCGAGGGGCGGCGGGGAGAGGCGGGGAGGGCCGAGCAGGGGAGCGGCGAGGGGAGAGGAGAGGAGGGGCGCGCCCGGGAGCGGGTGGCCCAGCGGCCCGGCCTCAGGGGCACCGCACCCAGGAGGCCCCGGCTCGGGCTGCGCCCTGTCCTGGGCTCTTTCTCATCCGCGACCTTCTTAGAGCTGCCGCTGCTGAGTCCTGCGCGCAAGCCTCTTAGCAGAGGGGGAAACTGAGGCGGGGGGGGGGTGGTTCGGTGGGGGTGGGGGCTGCGGCGCCCCGGGCACCCTGCAGACCCGCACTCTTCCGTGCCTGCTTTGAGAGAGACCCAGAGACTCGCCCCGCTGGTCTGGGCTGCAAGGACAGTGGAAGGTGAGCTCGGGGCTGGGACAGATGTCCAGGCCAGGTGGCCCAGGAGGTGGGGAGGACGAAGGGGGTCCGTTGTGGCCCGTACAGGGACAGCGTCTCACTCGGAACTTGAAATCGCTCACTGCTGCTGGACAGAAGGAGGCAAAGCCCACAGATATCCCACATTAGTAGCCTGGGCTCTCTGTGGGGTGGGGGTAGGGGGCTGGGGGTAGGGAGGTAGGAAGGAGGGCTTCCTGGAGGAAGAGGGGTTTTTGAGGGGATGTCTGTTGGGTGTCTGGATGGAGAGGCTCAGAGAACTTCTGTTTCACAGGGACAAGGGGACCCTCTCCAGTGCCCCAGCACCACCTCCTCTGGGTCTGCTGTTGTTGCAGGTGCCCTGGCAGGGGTGCTGGCAGCTGAGGGGGGCCCCCCATGACTTCATGGGCAAGAGCCCCTAACTCTTGAGCTCCTTCCCGGGGCCGCGGACCCTGAGACGCAGGACTGGCACTGAGGCTGGTTGAGAAGATGTATTCTTTTTAATTTTTTGGGGGGGATGGTGGTGGGACGGGGGGGGGGGGGGGAACACCCGGTTATAGGGCTTAGTTCTGGCTCTGTGCACTCAGGGGTCAGTCCTTGAGGAGCTTGGGGGACCATGAGGGGTGCCCAGGGTCAAACTTTAATCCACCCACAGGCAAGGCAAATGTTTTCCCCTAGGTACTCTCTGCCTGGCCCCATAGATTTTTATTTTGTTTTGATTTTAGGCCACACCCGGTGGTGCTCAGGGCTACTGGTGCTGAACTCGGGGATCACTCCTGGCAGCAAGGCAAATGTGTACCGTTTCCAGCCATTTCCAATTCATCTGCTTATTTTTTTTTTCTTTTTGGGTCACACGCAGCAATGCACAGGGGTCACTCCTGGCTCTGCATTCAGGAATTATCCCTGGTGGTGCTCAGGGGACCATATGGAATGCTGGGAATTGAACCCAGGTCGGTCGGGCGCGTGCAAAGCAAACGCCCTACCTGCTGTGCTATCACTCCAGCCCCTCATCTGCTTTTTTACACAAATTTTGTTTGCAATACATCCTCACTGCATTTCTTGGGTTTTGTTTGTTTGGGGGCCATAACTCAGGGCTTATTCCTGGCTCTGCACTCGGGGTTCACTCCTGGAAGGGTTCAGTGTGCCAGAGCAAACAACCCTACCTGCTGGACTATCTCTCTAGTCTTTTTGGTTGGGGGCACACCTGAGGGTACTTAGGGCCCTATACTCAGGAAACACTCCTGGCAAGCTGGTGGACCATATCCGGTGCTGGTGGATCAAACTGGCCCCACCTTGTCTTTGATTTTTATTTTAGGGCCACACTGAGGCAGTACTTGGGACCTACTCCTAGCTCAGTGCTCTGGGGGTTGCTCCAGACCCTTGAATTAGCTCCTTGCCCTACATCAGGTCCTTCCATTGTGTGTAGCAGAGGCTGCAGACAAAGCCCCAAGCCTCCCTGGGGTACCCCGCAGAATTCCTCATGTATGGACTGAAAGAGAGAGTCCAATACATAGGGGAATAGGGTATATGCACGTGACTGACCAGGTTAAATCCCTGCATTCCATATGGTTCCTGAGCACAGCCAAGAGTGATTCCTGAGCAAGCAGCAGGTAGGGTGCTTGGCTTGCCTGTGGCTGACCCAGGTTCAGTCTCCAGCACCCGCATCTGATCTGCTGAGCCCTATCAGGAGTAATCCTGAGCTCAGAGGCAGGAGTCAGGCCTGAGCACTGACGGACAGGTGTGGCCCCCAAAGACAGAGAAAATAAAGACAGACACAGGGCGGAGGGGGGGGGGGAGGGAGAGCGACTCGGGGAGGGTCAGGGCGCACATGCTCACAATTTAATTAGCTTCCTGGCTTGCCAGCAGATTACAGGGGAATTAGCAGAGCTGGGAGTCGAGGGACCTTGCTGGGAGTTGAGGGGAAGTTAATGAGAAAGACAACAGCAGGCCCCAGGGAGGAATGAAAGAGGAGGAATGTTAGCCAAGCAGAGCAGCCAGCGGGAGAGCAGATGCTGGGGCGTTTGCTGCAGTCTGGGCCTTCCTGGGAGACTTCCGCTCTGGCACGGGCGGGGGTGGGGGGCATGATGGACGCTCATTACAATGACAGCTTTGGGCCCTGGGCTCCTGCCCTGAAGAACAGACTCAATCTCAGGGGGAAAATGCCTTGAGGAAATTGGGAGCAGTCCGAGAGCGTCCAATTCCCTGAAGACACAGCAGGCTTCTTCCCCATCCGGAGGCTGGGGCTCAGCCCTGAGGAGGCCTGTCCTGGCCAGTGCTGACCCCATCAGCTGCGCCTGGCCGGAAGAGCTGCTGCTGGCCGTCACCTTGTGAAGAAGCTCAGGCCCAGGGAAAGGCCATGGGTGGCTTGTTTCCATGTGGTCACAACAGCCCCCCCCCACCCCCCCCGTCACCAACTAATCTGCAAGGTTCAGTGTGAAATGAGAGAAAACTCAGGATGCCCCATTCCAGAAGAATCTGAGCTGCTGGGGCAGGACAGGAGGGCTGTGGGGACTGTGACTGACTTGCATCCCTTGAGCAGCTCCGGGGGCCACTCCTGAGCACTGAGACAGCATCCCCTGCCCCAGGGAGCAGCAGTTGAGCCAAGAGGCATAAGTGTAAGGCACCCACCCAGGAAGGCCCCGAGCACCGCAGAGATGCTAGTACCAGGCCATTCAGGTCACACGACATTTGGGGACAGAATGTTGGTCTTACATAATAGTGTCTCAGCTGTACAGACAACAGATTTATGGTCCAGAATGTTCACTTATTTCAGGGGTCTTCCTTCCTCCCTCTTTCCTTCCTCGTACATTTTCCCCTCTCCCTAAACTTTCTGCAATGGATTGCTTTCTTTTAAAAAATGATTTAAAGGGGGGCTGTTGTGATAATACAGCAGGTAGGGTGCTTCCTTGCATGCAGCCATCCAGGTTCAATATGGTCTCCCATGCACCACCAGGAGTGAGTGCTGAGTGCAGAGTCAAGAGTAAGCCCTGAGCGTTGTGGGGTGTGGCCTTAATACAACAAAACAACAACAACAACAACAAATGATTTCAAGTATCTGGGTCAGAGCAATAATACAGCGGGTAGGGCATTTGCCTTGTACATGGCCAACCAGGGTTCATCCCCAGCATCCAATATGGTTCCCCAAGCCCCACCAGGAGTGATCCCCGAGTACAGAGCCCGAACTAAGCCCTGAGCACTGCTGGGCTGGGTGTGGCCCAAAACCAAAAATCAGAAACAGGGGTTGGAGCTGTAGTACAGCATTTATTGTAGGGCATTTGCCTTGCATGAGGCCGACCCAGGTTCGATTCCCAGCATCCCATATGGTCCCCCGAGCACTGCCAGGAGTAATTCCTGAGTGCAGAGACAGGAGTAACCCCTGAGCATCGCCGGGTGTGACCCAAGAAAGCAAAACAAAACAAAACAAAACAAAAAACCCCAAAAACACAAAAAACAACAATCCAGAAACAAACAGACAAAAAATAAAAATAGAGCCAGAAGAAAAATAAAAGGTGGCCTGGATGCCCCCACACCTATAAAATAAACACAAGAACAGAAGGGGAGAAAGTTACTGTGTCTTCACTTAGGCATCTTCCTTGGAACTGCCTAAGCATTTGCCTCCTGGGAAGAAGAATGATTATGAGACACAGCACGGTTTCACCCTTCCCCTCAGCATAGAAGGGACGCCCCACTAGATTCTTTGGGGTACAATCCACAAGTGGCAGTCTCACAAGGCCACACCCGGCTCTATGCTCAGGGGTCACTCCTGGTGGTCCTGAGGTTGGAACTGGGGCTGGCCTCATGCAAGGCAAGGACACGCCCCCCCCCCCCCCCCCCCCCCCCCCGCCTGTCTGCAGCCCGCAAGCTGCTGTCTCTCAGAATAGCTGTTCCCACCCCGGGTCCAGTGCCTCATCCCTGGCCCTTGGTCAGGTCAGCTTCCTGCTGCAGCTCACAACGGGAAAACCCACTGCGGGCAGGTTTCTTTTTTTTTTCTTTTCACTTTTTTCTGTTGGTTTGTGCTTTCTATTGCAAGATATTTTAGAATCTGGATTCTGGCGTCCACCTAGTATCTTTTTGTTTTGTTTTTTGTTTTTAGGCCCCAGTCAGCAGTGCTCTGGGTTTACTCCTGGCGGTGCTCAGGGGACCATAAGGGATACCAGAGATCGAACCCAGGTCAGTTGTGTGTAAGGCAACTGCCCTCCCCACTGTACTATCGCTCCAGCGCTTCCACTTAGCATTTTTCCCTCCCAACAGAGGTGCCATTTCCAATGCGGGTGGTGGGGCCTGGGATTGGCAGGACTGGCTAAGTGCGGGGTCCGAGAAGGGGACCTGAGACGGCTCCCAAGATTTACATCAATGGAACCAGCAACTGGGGGCAGGAAGCACCCCGGAGGAAATAGGTGAATTTGAATTTGAACTTGAATCCGGGTGACTGCTGAGATCCTGCATGTCCTAGTTCCACGTCTCACTGGACACTGGGCCATTCGTGGGTGGCAGGAATTTTCCAAGAAGCCTTCCCAATGCTTCAGACTGCTGTT